AAATTTAATGATCACCAAAGCACACCAGGATCCGACAGGATCCCGTATCATTATTTCTCTCTAAATCTCTTTATTTTTCGAAAAATCACTACGACTGTTGATGACTTATAATAAGTTTTCTCAAGGGGGAAAAAGCGGATCCTGGATCCCCAGATCCTACGAGTTTTTTGGATCCTATTAGATCCTTATGGATCCTACGAGATCCTAAAGACCCTATGAGATCCTAAGGGTCCTAAAAGATCCTAAGAGATCCTACGAGATCCTAAAGACCCTATGAGATCCTAAGGATCCTAAAAGATCCTAAGAGATCCTGAGAAATTCTATAAGATCCTGTGAAGTCTCTCTGACTTTATAGATTTTTAAAAAGTCACAAGAATCTGCTAAGCTAAAGAAGCTTTTAATTTCGATGACTAATTTTCAATGACTTCTGTCATAAAAACGTTGCAAATGTTCAAAAATCTGTTCTCAAGTTATTCGTGACGTACTTGTCTTCGTGAAGAAAAATTTTATGTGCAATAAAACTTTCTTTGAATAATAAATAGACATTAGTTCAATCACAACCTTTTTCGGTAGAAATCACGTACAAGCGATGACCATTGATTTGAACAATTTACCCGATGAGATTCTTTTCCTGGCAAATAATGAGTTTTATGAATTTATAAAAACATGTCTCGGTGATGACGAAATGTTACTATTAAAAATTCAATCTATCAAAAGCATTCGAGCACTACTCAATGTTCCAGATGTCTTAGCCGTGATAAACATCAAATGTAAAGAACTTGTCGATATTAAAAATCGTATATGTTTTATCGACGAGAATAATAATAATCGATTTGTCGTCAAATCTGGAATCAAAGGTGGAATTGACGATTTATTATCTGTCTTGAAAGAAAAGCAATCTGAATACATCAAACGAACAAAGCGTTTGAAAACATCATCTCGTTCTTCAAAGAATAATTATACGTCAACAGGTACACATATGCTGAATTCATCAAATACAATTTCCGATGACTTAACAGTAGTACCAACAGCAGCGAGCGGAACATCAAGTTTGGATTCTGTTAATTCTGTATTTACACCACCAATACCTACCACAGTGTCATATTCCATGTCCATCAACGATTATGAAGATTTGATTTCAAGCAGCATTGAGAAATTCTCATTGAGTACATTGGGAAACATAACATTACGAAACAAAGACGATTATACAATATTCTTAAGCGTCTTGGATAAAAATGTTGATGCATACATCAAATGTAAATGCAATTCATCTATCAAGATTAACCATAGATCAAATACAAATTCATTTCAATTGTCACAGTTTTTCAAACATTTGAAAAATAGCTGTTATCTTATCACAAAGAAAAAACAACAAATCAATTCAATCTCAAGGGAAATGAACAATTCGTTAAATGGATCGTCGCAAGATGATATATTGGAAAGTGAAGGTTTGGATGACAACGATCTCGCTTCTGCAAATCTAAGTGATCTTTCTGAAACTGAAACAAATAACTCGGTCGTCAAAAAAAAACGTTCTTTATCTCATTCGACATCATCAAGAATTACGAAACGATCGAAAATATGATCATGTATTAGTTATACGTTTAATATTTGATCATTTTACCTATGTATTTATATCTTATTCAACTATCATGCGCGAATTTAATTTTGCTGTTTTTTAACTTTCATGTTAGATTTCTCGCTGTACATTACCTTTTCTTTTGTATTTCTTTTAACTGTAACATATGGTTGATCTATTTTCAATAAAACTGTACCTAAATGTTAATAAAATCATGTGTCCTAAACAATTTGCCAATCGTTTATTTAGTTGATTGCATAATAGTCTTCGAACAATTTTTCGATATCTTTCAACAATGACTGATATTAACGATTTATCACCATTTGTCGACATTATTTCATCACTGTCAGGGGATGCCTTTTACGACTTCGTTAAACAATTTGTCGGTGCTGATGAAGCTGAAATTTTAAAGATTCAACAAATAAAAAATACTCGAATTTTATTACGAGTACCGGACGTCTTTTCATTTTTTGCGATCAAAAATTCTGCAATAAACGATTTAAAAGAACGAGCTTGTTTTGTTAATGAAGATATGCAATATGTTGTGAAAGCAGGAATTCAATCAAATATTGACTTATTCATTGATTTTCTGAAGAAGCACCAGGAATTAAAATCAAGTGGTATTGTTCTGATCTTGCTTTTCATACTAACACATGCTTGCATTATGTAGTTCAAGACAAAGATGATGGTAAGCTGGATTCGGCGAATGCTGTGACACAAAACGTTATGCCAAACGAATCGAAGTCATTTGCACAAATCTTCATTCAAAACCTTTTGAAGAATATGAAAAAATCAAGCAACAATTACAAATTTGACGATACTATCAATAAATTTGCATCAGCACTACATCTATTAGCAGGACATCATGCTTACGAATTCATTCGTATAAATTTATCTGGTGCTTTACCTTCAGCTACGACGATAAATAAACACAATGAATATATTGATTTACGTTTACGTGAATGTGAATTTCGATTTGATTCACTGAAAAACTACTTAGATTCCATTGATTCTAATTTTGTATTCTCGGTAGGTACTCGACAAAACATCACCAATCGAAAAGAATCAGATCGATCTTTTGAAAGTCTAATAATTGCAATCGATAGGAGTGAATAAAGACCGATCGGAAGAACCGTATTATTTGACACCGAAATGAATTCTAAAGCAGCAGATAAAAGATATGAATGTAAAGATTACCCATGAACTCGATCTACAAAAATGTGTTTAATAGAATTTTATGAGTAGAGCGGTATTTTCATGTTCGTTATGAAATGGTGATATGATTTTTAAAAATATTGATGAGTTCATTTTCACATACTAGCTCTCTACCAGAATGTATTAGAATAAATGGTTCTTACTGATAATATTAATCATACTTGATGAAATATCTTTGTCCTTTCTCTTTATAGTCTGAAGATTCAACTGGTGCAATCAAGTCAATATCATATGATTCTACGGATGATTGTTTTATTGGTTTTTGTTCACCATTGATTAACGGTTTACCATCGATGAGTAAATTTAAAACTGAGAATTATTATGAATTAGAGCAATGGTCTAAACATGTCAATAGATCAAGTTTAGTTAATGCACATTTAATTGAACCTATACAAACGAAAGCTTCATCACAGGTGCACTCAAGGCCGTATGTTCTTTCAGCTTATGGAACTGACGACAAGGTCACTGCATCAGACATACTTCGACGTTGGTTGCATATATACAACCAATGTAAGGAACGAGATATTCATGTAGTAGGCTTCTCGTCTGATTGTGCACCAAAATACTTGAAGGCTATGCGGTTGGCATTAAGATTTTTTACTCGAGCACCAAATATTGATCTGATTACTGGAAATGAAATGCATTTGAATATCGATATTCCACCAACGTGGAGCTTTTTTTTCATGAACAATATTCAACCATTTCTTTGTATGCAAGATGGAATTCATCTTATAACGAAAATTAGGAATCGCTTGTTATCGAGTACAGCGAAATTGTGCATGAATGGTCACGATATCGGTGTAAATTATCTATTGCATATTCTTGAAAACTATTCCAAAATTGAACATAATTTGGTTAAAACTGATGTTATACCTCATGACAGACAGAATTATTCATCATGCGTAAAGATAACATCGGATGATGTATTAAATTTACTCAATCAAATAGATGCCAAAGCTACTTATGCATATTTATATGTATTAAAATTATTAATTCTTACTTATGTTAAATCAAATACTAGTATTAAGGACCGTTTACTTTTTGGTTGGACGGCTGTTTTCTTCTATAGAATGTGGTGGTAATTTAAATGAAAGTACATGTTATTGTTTGATTTTGTTCTTATCTCGTAGGAGTAGTCTTCGAGTTAATCAAGGTCTTTCTTCACAAGACAAAGACAAAGCTTTCATTACAAAATCTGCTTTTTACTCAGCAGAAATAAACATTCATTGCTTGACATCGATAATAATATTAGTATCTACAGGACGATTACCTCCTTATTCACTGAATACATATCTCTTTAGTAGCCAAGCATGCGAAGCTACTTTTCGCACTGCGCGATCGTTGACTGGCGTATTCTCATCAATCACTAATTTCTCGGTGCATGAATTCATGAATAAGATTGAAAAAATTTCAATCTTAAATCATATTAAATCCTCAGAAGAATCGAATGATACTACTTATTCGCTGAAATTTCCGGCTCATCATAAGCATCGGCGAAACGAAGCAACTCGATCTATGAATAGTCAAGATGCATTACCGTTAACATTAGATGATATCGAAAACATTGTTGTCACAGCATACCATGATGCTGAATTGATTATGAAAGATTTGAAGTTAACAGAAACAATGAAAAAGCATAAATTAAATGATTTGAATACACTGAATTCGTTCGTTTTTACTCAATTAACAAAGTGTTCTACAATTGATTATTCTGCTGTGAGTAGTATTGACGACGAAGACGAAGACTCAGATGATGATGATAGTAATAATAATGATATTCTCACTGATTATTCTGAGAATGAGCGCGAATCAGATGAGGATTCTTCCGTAAATGACAACCAAGGCTTATATCACTTGATTGTATCAAAACAAACGTTCCACGGTATGAAAATTTACGATGTTATTAATCCAGCAAAAGCGAATCACTATTTCAAGATTTTCAGTAAGGATAAACCAAAATATACACCCTCAGGTAACTATCCGGAATAATATTGAAGTTTCTCGAACAACAAGCAAAACTAGTCAGTACAAAGACGCTGTATTAACAGAAAAGTTAAATGAGGATATTCTTTGTCGTTAGTGTTGGTGCCTTTGATATCACAAGAAAACTTACAGTTCTTTAGCTGAAGTATTACAGTTCGTAAGCAATTGTAAGACGATTAAACATAAGCAAATAATTCTATATTCTTTTCCCCTGTGTTTTGGTCATGAATAAGGCTCACGTTTAATATCTAGATGAGAGAAAATAGGTATAAATTACAAATGATGGCTCCATAAGTAATAAACGATTAACGCTCTAATCACGAATATTGTGGATCCTACCGGATCCTCATAGATCCTAGGATCCGTGAGGATCCGCTTTTCCCCCTTGGCTTTTGCGATGGATGATATTTCTATCTAACATTTCATTCTTATTTTCATCTTTTATTTTATTATCTAATTATGTAGTTGGAAGAGTGGCTTACATGATTCTTGCTTTCTTTTTCATGTAGTTAGTTATTCATTTTCTTATATTCAAATAACATGATCATCGTTTTGACTTGATTCATTCTTTTCTGAGCGGATGAAGTTATACGTATATTTCCATAATTCGCACCGTCAAGATGCTTTGAAACAACCAGTCTATCAGACACTAAAGAGCTCGATTTTCTCTTACCATTTACAGACAAATGTGCTCTTTAATGGTTTTATGACAGTCAATTATTCTTGATCGAAATTTGTCGACTATTTCAAAACGTACATTTGATTCCCTAAGTCGTTCACGTATTGCTATGCAGAAATTTTATTTGTAAATTCAATCTCCTTAATAGCAGTTAATATTGGTCGAGATGTTCGCCCGCATACAACATTCACAAGCGTTGAGAAAGGTAAAAATCGTACTCGATGAGAGATCGACGACAATCAAATCCGGATAAGAATCGCTATTGAAATGTCCTGTATCGATCCAGACGTGATCGCTACTCAGTTCAGTTATCAAAACCGACTGTGTCTCAAAGTCTTCATTTGATAGTGCAACAAGAGCGCCTATTCGAAGTGGATCTCCTTGACTGAAAACAATATCTCGTTGCCCATCGCAGTTGAAATCTTCACTGACCAGTTTAAACGGTTCCGTCGGCTTCTCAATAGGAATGGCTTCACTTGAACGACAACAAGCGTCGTCACCTCCAAAAAGTAGTCGAATGTCGCTGGAATTCATAGATGAAACAGCCAGATCTAATCGTGTATCAGCATTAAAATCTGCGACAAATATGTCATTGAACCTAAGGTTTCCAGAACTGATAAAAATATAACGGTAGACAAGAGGAAAGTTGTTAAATGAAAAAATAATAGTAATGCCTCGAAAACACTGATTATCAGAAATTATATCCATATTACCATCACGATTGAAATCAACAACCTGAAAAGATTTTGGGCAAAACTGGCGGTCTATTAGGAACATCATGAAACCGTCAGCGAATGTCCCATTCCCCCATCCGTTAAAAAACATAAACGGTGGCGAGTCACCGTATAGACTTATGACGTCCATATTACTGTCTTTGTTCCAGTCGGCTACCGCTATGTTCATCGGTAGACCGCGGTATTTGATACTTGAAGTTCTCGGACGTTGAAATGTTCCATTGCCATAGCCCAAAAAAACAACGATATGCATTTCCACATTATCAATGAAAAGTATATCGGCATATCGATCGTTATTGAAATCAGCAGCAAGGATCTTGAATGTTAAATCAATGGATTTAATAGAAAACGTGAGTTCTTCTTGAAAAGTTCCATTTTGATTATTAAGTAAAACATACATCCGTCTATATCTCACAGAGTAAAATGCAATGTCGGCACGATCGTCGCCATTGAAATCAGCAAGGACCGGTGATATGAGCTGAATATCACCTATGTTTCTGGATATTGTTACAAATTTCAATTGACAAGCTGATTATCAATAGACAAAAGGGTAGTAGGGAGGAAGTATATTAAAACGAAAATTACTCACGTACGATTGAAGAACCTGTTGATGATGTGGTTTCTGGAGTAGCAGTAGTACTGATTGTCGTCGTGGAAAACGAAACTTAACAAAAAAAAGAAGAGAGCTTTAAGGAAAACACTGATGAGTTTAGACGATTCGCACCTCGTCGAACAAAGTAGAAAGAGAATAGTGCTAGAGCTGCTACTATACAACTCAGCATTAGACACATGAACATCACTTTACGAGAACATCGAATCATCACAGGAGAAATTGATACCGCATTGTTAGCAAACCTATCGACATTTGTTGACACAGTTTCAGACAATCTCGGTTGAATAGTATTTCTTCGATGTTTTCGGTAGTGAATAATTTGGGCAACAATTTGCACTAGAATCGGACAAATCCATCGAATAACAATGCTCAGACCGCCTTGAAGGCCGAGAAGAAGAGTAAGAATATAGGGCGCATTGAATTGCACGTAGAATGTATGAGAGCAAAGAGTTGGTCGACATTGTTCGAAATAAACAGCATAGTTAATATTGGTTAGCCAATCTTCCACAAAAAGGTTCTCACTCAATTGAGCTAGTGTCGTGTTCGCAGGAAAAGGACCACTCCCTGAGGAAAGAAGAGTAGAAGAACGATTCTGATTTCCATACTCAGTATACTCTTCAATGAGATCAATACATGTCTTATCATAAAAACATTCAAGAGTTGAAGCGAAAAATGATTCACTTGGTGTACATCCGACTTTCAAACCTTTGACAGGAATTGTTCTGGTCGAAGAATTCTTTGCAAAGAAAGTTGCTTGACTTGTACAATTAGGATATCGGCCACAAGAACATCCATCATAGACAAATGCTTGAGTGGGTGCATAGACGTCATAAAAGTGATCCCAAGGAACCACATATTCGAAGTTCGTTCCATACATTGAGATCATGCCATTGCCGTGATTCAAACGGCGAATTAAAAATAGAAGTTGATTGAATGCCGCTGAAGCATTGTTTTTGCGCTGTTCAATAGTAGAATCGAGACGTTCGTGAAAATTGTCTTTTGAGAGAAGTTCAGTGGTGATAAATGATGATGACAGCAGTTGATCAATAGTGTTATTAACGAGTTCTGTCGATAATTGGCAGAGACCGCGGAGAAATTGTAGATGTGCAGAAAGAAAACGACGATAATCCGTGCGTGCATAAATAGAAAGATTAACATTAAGGCCAGATGTGATGTTCAGTTGCCATTCTTGTGAAGCAAACGGACTTGAGCAAATCTACAATTGAGAGAAGTAACATATTCCTATTTACATAAGGATCACTTTTTTGCCCACCTGATGTAATTGAGGCTTAATGCTGACGAAATCTCTGTAAAGGGATACAATCGATGTACAGGGACATTTGAACTGATTTCCATATTTATCTTTGAGTTGCATGGATAAATTGAGGGATGGGTGATCGAAATGCTCTGTTATCGTTTGTGGTTGAATAGTCGCGTAGAGAACAAGAAAAACAAGGCCAGTTACAAGCAATATAATATATAGAAGAGTGGACCAACGTCCAAGGCGTTTCACTGCTGCTTGATCCAGTTGACGGTTAAAATCTCTTGCAGAGAAGATGTTCAGATTGATCAGCTCAGTGCGCACCAGCTCAACGAGTATGTTTCTGTACATCTTCAACTTATCATAGCGTGATGAACGTGCTACAACTAGACAAAACATTCTTAAGTCTCAATGATCTGATTTTCTCTAAAGAGAAATCTATTTGCATGTTACCTTGCTGTTCTGGTATTGATCGTGATCGTCGTGTTGTGGTGCAACATTCCTTAAAATAATCGATTATTTTGACAAAACAAGGTGCGATAATCCGTAATGAAGCAGTTAGACCACCGATTATTGACACGAGTGCAATAATCACCTGAACAGAATTTTTAGTGCGAATTCGCTTTGAGTAAATACAGTGTCGTGGTGCACACGAATGATAAAATTTTTCATACGAGACCATTGTTTCCCATTGTTCGATCATCAACCTTTCAACAACAGTTTTAGTTAAAGTGTCAGGAGGGTATTGACTGGTTCTTGGATCATAGACGAGAGGACGAACAGAAAATATCGATGACGTACCGGGCGTGTAGTACAATCTGTTGGCACATTGTGACAAAATTATAAAGCATTCGGAATGACGGTAAAAACATGCCAGCGTGGAGAAAAGCAGAGAATCGATAATCGAACATCGACGAACAAACGACGACAGATAAGATCCTTCTACAGGTGAGTAAGATGCTGACCAATCTACCCCACTGTAGTAAATAACAGCTGGACTTTGACAATCAGAATTTGTTGCGCAAACACAGCCGATCATTGAAGACTCACTAAGATATATTTTCATCAAATTCAACGTTAACTATAAGCAAAGAAAATTAATTAATTTTTGAATTTTAGTTTTTTTGAACGAAAGCAAAACTTAATCCTCGAAATAATACACACTTTCAGTGATGTCTTGTTTGTGTTGTCCTTAGATATGGTTACTATTAGATTGAAATCGCGTGTTCTTGAGGGTTCGAAAAGCCACCCCATATAAGGCTGATCAACTTGCATAAAGAGAGATGACGTCTCAACCAATACACGAAAAGGCAGTGTAGTTAGTCGTAAATATTCATTCAACGTGGTATTCAATTCAGTATTGAAGTACTCTCTGCTGGGCATATTGGATGCAGCATATGATCGCTGGAGAAACTGATTGATCGTATTAGTAATTGTTTCGTTAGCTAATTGACAGAGATGATTCAATAATCGAAAATGTGACAGAGCTCGATGACGCCAATCATCTTCTCGCCATCCACCTTTCCAGGATTCCCACAGAGAAATCCATCGATCACTGACGAAATCGCTTGAACACAGTTGATGCATCCTTGCTGACAATGAAACAAATCTTTCATAAGCAGTGAGCATGGTTGAACATGGACATCGCAATGTATCATTGTATGACTTTTCTAAATCCGTGTAAGCATCTAATGATGGATTCGATATAGTGATGGTCACTGTTTCCGTATTGAGTGTATGAAAAAGTAGCAGACTGGTGAATGAAACTAGAATAAAAAAAACAAACACATAAAAATATTTTCGATTGAAATCATGTCAATATCTGATATAAGAGAAACATTTCTGATGTGAAATGGAAAGAGTCTTACTAGCTAGTAAAATCAGATAGACACGAGTAACCATCTGTTGCTTTTTTATTCCATTCACCGTTCTATCGGCAGTTGTTCGATACAAGTTCAATTCTTTCAAAAACTTGCCTGCAGTGCGTGGCCAGAGAAGCAAAGACACTGACAATGGCAAAATTAAAGGTATATTTTTCTCAAGTCCGATACACAAAGCATTGCAATGAGTTACCTCGAAGATTTCGTGGTCGAAACTGAAGTTTGAATGCCATACTGATGAGACAAGGTGCAATCAAACGAAGTATAATAGTGAATCCTCCGTAGAGACTGACGAGCATCGTTATGGCATAGTGAACATTTCTTTGATCTGTTGTTGCGTAGGAACACGAGGACGGAGCACATTGCTCGAAATACTTTTCATAATTGACTACGGCTGTCCATTCATCGGTAAGCATACTTTTTATGTAATAGTGTAACAGTTGGGAATCGTTCCGTTGTGAAGCAAGAACAGATCCGGTTGCGTTGAAGCCAATCTGAAAACAAAGGGTAAATGAATCGAGAAAAAAAACACACTGACTGATATACTTGGTGCAGAGAAGGAAAGTATTCTGGTAACAGCAGAAGACATTCACTCTCGTATAAACAAGTGAGTGTGCTGGAAAACAGACTTTCCAAAGGTGTACATGCAGCGACAAATCCAACAACACGCGTATAATTTATCTGATAATAAGGTAATGTAGTATAATCGCTATAATTGGGCGACTGCGCCGTGGAATGCAAAAGAGCTGGCATGGAGATACTTCCCTGGCTGCACCTACGTACTGTCATGGTCGAATCTATATAAATTGCTCCAAATTTGCCTGCCACGTACTGGTTGCTAGACGGCCAGACGTAAACGCCAGTATTGATATTAAGGGCTGATATGAAACCGTTTGATCGAGTGTTAATATTTATATAGTCGATAAAGGACATCAACCGAGTGAATACGTCGATCGTGACCGATTTCATCGCAGCATCCACTGTTGATTTTACCCGTTCTTCTGATAGAGCATTGACTGTGGCAAGTTCTGAAATGTCAATCTCACTTCGGACTTGAGAAGCCGTTATTTTGGCCAAAGAACAAAAATCACTCAAAAGTTGAAACTAAACAAATGAAAGTTATATCTCTAAGCACCAATCTTATTGAAATGGTCGCGCCAGTTGAGATCTAGTAGTGAAAATCTCTACATTATTTACCTGAGCATAAGCTGAGCTTCGAAAATCGTTCGGTCGATATCGACTCGCATTGGCCAAAAACAGAGCATCGATCCATTCTTTCCTGACGAAGAAGCTGGAGCAGACAGGATGAAGTATCACTTGAATGGCCACAAATTTTTGATGAGACACAAATGTATTTGTGCATGGACATGTTAGTTTATCTTCATAGTCACGATAGAGCTTTTTAAAAGTAGTTATAGTAACATCCGAAATGACCACTGTACGCGGCTGAGGTGCGACCATAGCAATATAAAAGAATATGTAGAACGACACTAGAAAAAGCAATCAAATGAACATCTCTAGATGAAGTTACTATCACTGCTTAGTGAACACTCGCTCCACTGAATCTTAAGGTCAAAACATGCGCTAACGTTACCCAGAAAAAGAAGAATGTAAAGTCGCGTCGAATATGTTTTATGCTTTACAGCATCTGCACGATCTTCTGATTCATTGTCTCCCCGATCAGATTGATCTTGTATTTCAAGGACGAAAAAGTTCGAATGACGTATTACATCGATGAACCAAAAGAATAGAACTTTTGGATGCATTGGAACGCAGGTGAATAACGGACAATATATTTTCCGTCTACTTGTTGCTTTCAATTTCGTGAAAACACATGCCAATTCTGTCACAGCGAGCCATTCCTCTGCATGAATAAATTGTTATGATAATCAACACCTTCTGTTCTTGTTCAACAGAAAAATTTAATTTACGCAGTAAGTTTGACGTCATAGATTATGATAGCGAGCGTTTGCTAACGTCAGGGAAGTGAACAAGGAAATATTTTTATGTATTCTACATAAAGCAGCCGATGACTGTTGAGCACTAGATGATAATAAATTTCTTTTTTGTTGAATACTGACTATCTGGGAAATGTCGAGTATAATGACGTCACAGAGGAGAAAAAGCGAGAAAGATGAATAACGGCGATACGTTTTTTTTACGAAGTACAGCCATTTCGTAAGTGTAGAGAGATTTTGACTAAAGTGCCATGTGCACAAACACTTCATTCTTGTACTCTTTCTTTTAAAAGTGAGAGTGTTAAGATGATTGAACACACCCTCACGATGACAAAGGAATTAGAAAAAAAGCGCAAAATCAGCATTGAAAGTAATTTTATACGTCGTTTCACGAATAAATACTGTCAATCAAAATGATAGAAAAGCACAATTGTAGATCTTGATGAGATTTACTATATTTTCTGACATCATACTCGCTTCCACATCCATGATTCGTCTTTTCGTAACTGATGCTGCATTTTGAATAAAGTCGAATGAAGCTCGTTCATCACCACGCATCGTTCCTGTTGTAAGACCTATTTTATCTTGCATCGCACCCATTGTCATGAGAACTGACTGTGATAGGTGATTCGCATCACTGACACGATGCTCACGCAACAATTTTGTTATTTCTTCTTGTTGTCGTTGGATTTTTTGTAATTCAATTAAATATTGTATAATCTCATGTAACTTCTTTAATTCTTTTTCATCTCGACTAAAAGATAAATGTAGTTCTTCTCTAGCGACTAGTTTCAACACTCGATCGGTAGCATCAACCATCCATAATTCGACAATAATACAATCAATTTCAGATTTCTTCAATAGTTCATCGGTTGTTTATGCTTGGGTTTCTAAAAGAATGTTCATCATATCATTGTAACGAAGATTTTACTTATGACTTTCACATAAGCATCGATACCCATGAGATTTTGAAAGCCTTGATAGGCTATACCAACAACTCTTTCCATCCTTTCAGCACCTTTGATAAAAAAATAATCACCTGAACCATAATCAGCTATATTCGTCATTTCCTCTACTGAAAGGAGGGTTATGCGTCGAGCAGATATTACAGAAAAAACGAGTTCATGTTCTTCCTTCCGTCCTTCCGTGCGTTTTACTTGAAAATTATCTAAATACTAGTTGAAAGCAGTAAGGGTTGACCGGAGGGTAATCGAGGTCGTGGATCACGAATCCGGTGTTAGTTTTTCATGGAGACTTTGTCGCCCGTTTTTCTGCGACAAAGCATCAATTTTTAGACGATAATATGTTAAGCGGCAATATGTAGAGCAAAATGTAATAGCTGACTGGCGTCCGATCGCTGGATCTCCATAGTCATCAGCATATTAATGAGATCACATACTTTTATAAACAGCTATACTATACGAATATCATCTGATACCAGTCATTCAAAATAATGTTTCGCTTGTCAAGTGTTGTCTTCAACAGTCACAGTAGCATAAAGAGGGTGACTTTAAAGAAGGAATAGAAGAGAATGAATGGATTCGTTTCAAAAGTGGCTCTAGACTAAATGAAAGAGTGAAAATGTACATGGAACGGCTAGCCGCGAGTGGCCGACCGGAGGGAGACCGACGAGCGACTCGATGTTTCTTTTGAAAATTAGTTGAAAAGTGGGATTTATAAGACTGTCGCATAGTGTCCATAATTTTTCTAAGGTATATAGTATATATAATGTCTTTTCGAGCTGCGAGAAAAAACTATGTAGATCACCAACTCATTCTACTAAAAATGATAATAAAAAATATACTGTAGATCACGAAGCTGTGAAGAATTTCGGCAACTTTGCTAGAGACGGACTCAACAAGAACGAGGTACTTTTGAATATGAAAATATCATTAGACCCTTATTAGGTACCGGCGGCTAGCAGTGAGTGGTCGACCGGAGAGAGGCTGAAAAACGACTAGGCGTTATAATTTCAGAAGATTTCAGGAAGCGAAGTTGGTCTAGGTAAAACATTCTGACAAACTATCAAATGATCAGATCGTTCAACTGAAATAACTTTTTTCTCTCTTTGGACGAATAGTAGCGTTCTAATACTATCCTTTCAGTAGAGGGTTTAGCGGCCACTAGGCCGCGTTACTTGTATCTTTTATTAGTAAACAGTAAAACAAACGTACTCTGTAAATATTGAAAAAGATAGAATGAAAGAATATTTTCCATTTATTAAAATGTTTTACAGCTGTTTAGTTCTTTTTTATAAATGAATTAAATAGTTTATCAATACTAAATTAGTTACATTAACTTCTTTTAACATTGATTTAAAAGAATATTCAAATTACCAGTGTCATCACTACCAGCAGCAATGTCTATTTTTCTATCATTATTAAAATCGCCCACTGTGAGGGCAACCAAACCAGTATCAGTGGGAATTTTTTGATATTCAAGAAATGTTCCATCTTGATTATTTAATAAAATATAAATAAAACCATCGCCTTCAGTAACAGCCATAATATCCAGAAATGTATCATTATTTAAATCAGCTAATGCAATTGTTACTGCAAGTCCATTAATATAATAAGAATCTCGTTTATAAAAATGTCCTCCTCCATCATTAAATAGAATCGATATCATACCTACAGCATAATTAGCGGTAACAATATCTATAAAAGAGTCATTGTTGAAATCTGCAACTTTTACACCCCATGGTGTGATTCCGGCTGAATATGCTTTTCTAGGTTTAAATAATCCATTTCCTTCATTTATATAAATACTGATTGTATTATCACTGTAATCAGTAACGACAAAATCAATATAGGAATCCTTGTTGAAATCTGCAACTGATACAGCTGTACAGTCATGTCCAGCTTGATGCATGTGCGAATAACTGAACGATAAATTATGATAATCATAAAAAACAGTAATAGAAGAATCATGATCATTAACAACAACAACATCCATCAATGAATTGTTATTAAAATCTGAGACATCAAGCCAATATGGATTATAATGAACATCGTAATTTCCAACTGGATATTGTTTTAACGAACTAAAACTTCGATTTCCATAGTTTATTATAATTCCAATTGAATCAGTTTCGAACAGAGTTGCAACTATATCGAGTTTATTATCATTATTCATATCTTTAATCATTAAAAAATGTGATTTTGAAGCTGTATGATTGATTGTAGATTGAAATGTTCCATTTTCATTTCCATAATAAAATGCAAAATATTCGTCACCTTGTGAACCAACAACTATATCAAGATAACAATCTTCATCTAAATAACCACTACTAATTGCCCAAGGATTAACTCCATATGAATAACTTGAATAATTTGAGAATTTCATTGGATTGCATGGAATAGCTAAAGGAGTATCCGTTTGAAGGAATTATTTCTAATAGTATTAAAAATTACCACGTGAAATAGTGTTTGGATTGGATGTTGTTGCCGCTAGATAAAAAATACATTGAAAAGCAGACAGATTTATTCGTTTCTTTCTTACCTTTAGTCGTGATCAGTTGGCGCCGAGTCGTTTTTGTTGATTGTTCGGGTGTAACTGTTGTTTCTACAAATAGTGCTTAGTATAATATTCTCACAAATATTGCCCTTTAGCTATACAGGCATCAATAGACTTGACTCAGAAATGTTTCGGGTTACATGAATTTCGGTCCAAGGATTTTTTGGCCCTAATCTATTATTAAACGTAACTAATTAGTTATTAATTATCAGTTTCATAGTGCCGAGCGGTGTCACATGGTGCTGGCCGGTACGAATGACGAGAAATCGTGTCGTCCTTAACAGTGTGCGTAATGGGATATATCACTATCGCCCATCCTTTGGTCTGCATATAACCGATAATCCGTTTGTGGCCTAGCGCAGTCGCTATACTTGATTGATAATCATTGTTTCCTCTTGTTTATAAAAGTGTACATCTTATACATGAAGAGACAGCTTGTTACATGAAGGAGCTAGATAAAATGTATCATTATCCTTACAGGCAATTTTCTTCTTGAGTTCACTACAGTGTCATGATGCTAAGCGGTATGATATGTCGCTGAACAAGACAAGGTTTCTCATCATTCGTACCGCTCAGCGGTATGTCACACCACTCGGCACTATGCAACTGATAATTAATAGCTAACTAGTTATGTTTAATAGTAAATTAGGACCGAGAGTTTGGGCTGAAATTCCTGCCTCCCAATGTTTCTTCAGACATATTTATCGTGATTCCAAAATTAGCCACATCATAATAGTGCAGCAAAACAATTCAGTATATGTTTCAAATCGAGAATACTTCCTATTGCGTCATGTTAAACATTACGAAATAACTTCCATCCTGAAAAACCAGTTCCAGGAATAGTATTGTCTGACTAAAGTTTTAAAACTGATTTAACAATGTTAAAAATCGTAGACTACGATGACTTCTTCCGATTATAAATAAAGTTCTATCACAGATGAGCGCCCGTTACTTGAGAATTTTTATAGCAAATGAATTATATGACGTTCACATCTAACTATTAAGAAAGTTGTGCTAAAAAGGTTTTTATCAGTGGAAGGGACGTACGAGTTCCTTTTATACTTATATTCTTGCTTTTATTGACACTCGCAATGATATCCACAGCGACCATAAAGCGCATACGGATTAAAGAATCCACATCATCACTCAATCACTCTTCCCATTTCAATTATAATTCTTACTACCTAAGGAAAATTTAGAAAATCACGGTATCTGAGATGAATCTAAACTGTAAGAACAAAGAAGATGTCGTGCCCTACTATTTTGAAGATTATTAGAACTCTATCTCAGGATTAATCTCGTTAGAAAGGGTCCTAAGAGATATTATTATTTTAGCAATACAATACGACCGTAATGAAAGCTTTCTGGACATATTCAGTAACTTTGCATTGAATACATCAACTACACTGACAAAAAGGTACTCATCGAAACCAAAGAGGATTTCGTAAAAGCCGAAAAGATTCCTAGCGTGAAAATAAACATAAATAAGGGTTTCATAGATCTCACGAAACCCTCCAAAAAAGATTTCTTGTCAGTTAAAAAAGGATTTGAACGTGTCATGAGTGTTTACGAAACCTTTTTAAGGGTTTCGATTTCGTTACAAATAAATGCGGAAACTTCGGATTTTATCCGAAAGTTATGCGTACTGCAAAAAGTAATATAAGTGAAAAGATGAAACAAAGTCATAGGAAAACATGTGTATTTTTCGCAAAAACACGACAATGAGTTGTGCAATCAGTTTCATTTTCGCTCTCGAGCTACATATTGATGTAACAATAATTGGTAGGAAATTTAACACCCTCAGACTCGCTATTCAGCAATTATCGTCTAAACGAACGAATAGATGATCATTGATCGATTCTAGTAATAGATTCACTTTTTCAGTACCCTAAGTGAAAATAGACGAATTCAAGAACACTGTCAACAAGAAGTTTCTGACACTTTCACTACATATAACTAAAACATCCAAATGGATAAATCGTATTTTTGAACGATTTTCTGTACTTTATTTATTCTAGAATGGCTTTTCTAATATAAATCAATAGAAAAATGACCTGGGCGATATTTTACGCAGTCACCCCGCCCACACCCCTACTGTAACCAGCCGCACCATACCTCTCTAGGCAGGTCACCAATTAAATATAATGAACCTTACTCCCATTATTATTGATGCATCACTCTCTCCGAAAGGGAGAAAGGTTCATTATATCTAATTGGTGACCTGCCTAGAGAGGTATGATGCGATTGGTTACACCTACTACTTCTGTATTAGCACTCCCTTGACCTTTCCCTATGCCTAGAAATGCAACATGAACCGTTTGATAGCCTTAACTCACGAAAAACCGGTTTGGTGAAATTTCATCCAGGTCACCCAGCCTACCCACCCACATCCCTCCTACTTATCTGTCAATGCTCTTTTGACCTTTTCCTATGCTTAGAGATGCATCCTGGAGAGTTTGGTCACCATAGCTAAGAGAAACTTTTTTCCAAGAAAATCCCTGTACTCCCCCTCAGGGGGTAGTGTGGTCAGTTTTTAGAAATTTTCTGACATCTCAGCTGTTCTTGGACCGATCGGTCTCATCTTCGAACTCGACCGGTTTTATCTGGCTTCTTTCAGTTCCGAAGAGAACCGAATGATTTCCTGAGCCGAATCCGTTCGAAGGATTCCTGCTCCCACTTTCTGTTGATTTCCAATGTCTTCCTTCTGGATTCAGTCCGTGCTTTTCGACATGGGATAGATAGATCCTTTCTCTACGCGTGTACATATACCTCGCTCTCAGGTCAAAAATTACTATGAAACTTATCATCGCCTTTAATTTATTTTTATAATTGTGAATATGATTCTTGATTCAGGATTCCCCACTGGCTTCTAATTCATAGAATTCGGACAGATCTCGCAAGAATACACCCTCACACTTCATGATGATAAATAAATAAAAGAATAGTTTCAAAATTTGCTCTTACCAATGCTAGAATTGTCATCAATGAAATAAAATGTTGCATGAATACGACTGAATATAATATAAATGATAACAGCAAGAAGAATACACATTGGAATGATAAAACAACTCCAAAGAAGAAATCGAGACTTCTTTGATAAATAATTTTCTCTTCAATGCATTGATGTTCAAATACAACTTCATATTCAACAATAAAATCTTACCTTGGTAAGATTATTTCTTCTGTAGACGCTTCTTTCATAGTTATATGATGTACACTTAAATATAAAAGAATTGATGAGGATGAGTAAAGCAAACAGCTAATTCTTCCATCACGAGTTACGGTAAAGTACAACAAAAACTGGTACCGTAGTTCGAAGAGAAAAATTTTCAAATCTTGAATGAACTCTCTCAGAATACTCGTTGTTTTTCTGACTTTTGGAATATTTCGATGTCAGAAAAAAGCACATTGTCAAAGAATAAAGAGAGGAAACAATTTTTCATTATTCAAGTAATCTCGATGGGTAGACGTAGGTGTGTGTGTTCATGACAGGTAATTTCTGCCAATAACGCCCCCCCCCCCCCCCCCCCAAAAAAAAAAAAACGGAAAAAATACATATTCAAACGCTACTAAACAAGGCAACTTTGAAGTATGCAATGATGATGATAACGGAAACAGCCGCATTCTTCAATGTACAAAGNCACTCTTCCCATTTCAATTATAATTCTTACTACCTAAGGAAAATTTAGAAACTCACGGTGTTTGAGATGAATCTAAACTGTAAGAACAAAGAAGATGTCGTGCCCTACTATTTTGAAGATTATTAGAACTCTATCTCAGGATTAATCTCGTTAGAAAGGGTCCTAAGAGATATTATTATTTTAGCAATACAATACGACCGTAATGGAAGCTTTCTGGACATATTCAGTAACTTTGCACTGAATACATCAGCTACACTGATAAAAAGGTGCTCATTGAAATCAAAGAGGATTTCGTAAAAGCCGAAAAGATTTCTTGTACGTTAAAAAAGGATTTGAACGTGTCATGAGTGTTTACGAAACCTTTTTAAGGGTTTCGATTTCGTTACACATTGATGTAACAATAATTGGTAGGAAATTTAACACCCACAGACTCGCTATTCAGCAATTATCGTCTAAACGAACAAATAGATGATCATTGATCGATTCTAGTAATAGATTCGCTTTTTCGGTACCCTAAGTGAAAATAGACGAATTCAAGAATACTGTCAACAAGAAGTTCCTGACACTTTCACTACATATAACTAAAATATCCAAATGGATAAATCGTATTTTTGAACGAATTTTTGTACTTTATTTAATCTAGAATGGCTTTTCTAATGTAAATCAATAGAAAAATGGCCTGGGCGATATTTCACGCAGTCACCCTCACCCACACACCTACTGTAACCAGTCGCAACATGAACCGTTTGATAGCCTTAACTGACGAAAAACCGGTTTGGTGAAATTTCACCCAGGTCACCCCAGCCTACCCACTCACACCCCTCCTACTTATCTGTCAATGCTCTTTTGACCTTTTCCTATGCTTAGAGATGTATCCTGGAGAGTTTGGTCACCATAGCTAAGAGAAACTTTTTTCCAAGAAAATCCCTGTACTCCCCTCAGGGGTAGTGTGGTCAGCTTTTAGAAATTTTCCGATAACTCAGCTGTTCTTTGACCGATCAGTCTCATATTCGAACTCAACCGGTTTTACCTGGCTTCTTTCAGTTCCGAACAGAACCGAATGACTTCCTGAACCGAATCCGTTCGAAGGATTCCTGCTCCCACTTTCTGTTGATTTCCAATGTCTTCCTTCTGGATTCAGTCCGTGCTTTTTGACATGGGATAGATAGATCCTTTCTCTACGCGTGTACATATACCTTGCTCTCAGGTCAAAAATTACTATGAAACTTATCATCGCCTTTGATTTATTTTTATAATTGTGAATATGATTCTTGATGCAGGATTCCCCACTGGGTTCTAATTCACAGAATTCGGACAGATCTCGCAAGAATACACCCTCACACTTCATGATGATAAATAAATAAAAGAATAGTTTCAAAATTTGCTCTTACCAATGCTAGAATTGTCATCAATGAAATAAAATGTTGCATGAATACGACTGAATATAATATAAATGATAACAGCAAGAAGAATACACATTGGAATGATAAAACAACTCCAAAGAAGAAATCGAGACTTCTTTGATANAGCGCTACGTACATTTTGTGAGCTAGTAAATCAAGCAATCTCAAATGAGTTAAGTCAGTTTTATTCAAATCAATATGTGAGTGCATCGGTAGCGTCATCAAATGTATTTCAATCACAAACAAATGCACTGATGTCTCAATTCATTTCATCAACTACTGCTAAGTTCTTAGCATCTCTCTCTATGGCACGAAACATCACGCAAAGCAATGCTTTACTTTCTGGTCAATTTACAAACTACAGACTATACGGTACTTTAACCTCCGAACAAAATTCACAACCCATATGGTATGATGATTGTTACTGTGCTTCTTCGTCCGCCTGCATAAGCCAATATGAGATTATCAGTTATCCTGACTTCACGAAAACATTCTATGTGCCAGAATTCTATTATGGATGCTATATAGTTGAAGCATTACTTCAATCCAGTCTGCAATGTTTTTATGATGAAACTTGCATTAATACAATACAAATATATTTAGATCCGTCAAACACTATTAATGTAACGGCTCTTGATATATCATTATCAAATCGGTTTTACGAGAATACTACTATCGAAGAACTTCTGGATGAATTGATGGTTGAAAAATGGAATTTATCAAGTTCCTATAAGAATTATTATAATGAATGTCAACCATTCCAATGTAGTTATAGTCAAACAGTACAGAATAGTGCAATTTATATTGTAACAACAGTGATTGGATTGATTGGTGGCTTGATTACAGCTTTGGAAATGGTTCTCCCACTGATCGTTCATATTTATACGCGATATTCACGCAGATCATTGAGACCAAAGAATGGTAAGATCAGGAAGCCGTACAAACTTGAATCTACGCAAAATATACGCATTAGCGTGTACATCCAAGTGTTAACATTGGGTTTAGAAGTTTAGCATTTTTAGAGACGAATATAATGTACCTCAGAAGCTTACAATGAGTGGTGAATATATTTTAAAGGACATTTACCTTTCATGCGTTCTGTGACTAGGATTTATCTTCTCTTCAGTTATCGTAAGACTTTTTCCCACACATTTTTCAAATTATCTAACTAAATCCATAATTCAGAAGGCTAATCATTTTCAAGTTAGAAAGAGCGGAATATTTTTTAATATATTCTTTTTATTAATAGAAATCTCCCTTCTAACTTCACGTATTAGCATATTACAAAAAATTAAACAATATCTTTTGGAATACAATCTATTTCCATCAATTCCTCCTACTACGGATCAACATGAACTTCATCATCAACGTATTACTACACGATTGTTCATTCTTCTTCTCACCGTATCATTATCTATTCTTGTTTTATATACTTCATTAATCAACATTACACAGCTTATTCGTGTCCAATCACCTTCTATTCAACAATATTCACAACTCTATCAAATGCATAGTCAAACTTTGACTTGTGATTGTACACAGATATCAATCAGTTATAAGAAGTTTATTAACGTTGAATATGATTTCCACCAAGTATGTCAAAGTCATTTTGTTACACAGAAATGGATCAGTTACATAACAACATCACTTGGAGGTAGTGCAGAGTATTACACAGACTTTCAAGCGATCGGAACATTTATGTTTCAAGCGCTACGTACATTTTGTGAGCTAGTAAATCAAGCAATCCCAAATGAGTTA